GCAAGTGTGAATGCCTAACAAAAAAGTGCATAAAGGCTTAATTTTTTGGCACGTATTCAAATGATTGTCTTAAGCTTTTGATGTTTATTGCTTTGTCCTTGGTTTTAAATCTTTGATCAAGGGTGTATACTGTATAAAAACCGTGTCTCCATTATTAGAATATGCTTAGTATCCTATAAAATCAGTATCCATATAAAACTGTCGGGGTGTAGGCGTGATCTCCTGCTGTTGGGGTAACACACAGGACTGACAGATGGTCACACACTAACACCTAAATCTAGAATTACTAATAAACCAAGAATTCATATTTTTGCAAGGAAAAGCTAGAGTACCTGAAAAAACCCATGCATACAGGAGACCAAGCAAAACTATCACAGAAAAGCTGCAAAAGGAAAGACAAGAGCTTAAGGCCAGGCGAGAGTGAAAATTTCAAAAAATTATTGAACATTTATTTGGTTTGTGTCATGTTTGGCTTAATATGTTTGGCCCACATGCAGAAACACACTCGGCAGCAAGGATCAGATTCAACAGTTTATTTTATCAGGGACGCTCGGAGAAGACAAGGAAGCGCCGGATCGGAACCCCCAACCAATCAAGTAAAACGAGCTAAGGAATGCAGGCTTACCACCGGGTGCGGCAACCGGACTAGGGAAGGACGGAAGGTCTCAGCATACTGTGGTGTTGGCGGCAGGTGATCCAGAGACCGGTGGGTTGGGGCGGAGGGCGGTCCAAGAAGCTCAGCTGATCCAAAGATATGGGGCAGCAGGAGGAACCAGACAGACTCTGGGAGGAAGGAGAGCTCGAGAGGAGGACTCAGTTTGGAGGTTGCTCGGGAGAGCTGGCTAGTGAGGACAGGCTATATTTGGGACACATGGAAGGTTGGATGGGTTCTGGAGTGGGACGGGAAACGGAGTCGGACGGTCATGGACCTGAGGACAGAGATTAGCTCGTAGGTGCCAGTGAAGCGTGAAGACAACTTCCAACTAGAGGATCTGGACGGGAGGTCTCAGGTGGATAACCAGACCTTTTGACCGGGGCGATAGGTGGTACTGGCGGGACAGAGCGTCCGACTTTAGGTTCTTGGAACCCGGGCGGTATGAGATGTTTAGGTTGAAGCGTGATAAGAAAAGGGACCACCAAGCCTGTCTGGGGTTTAGCCGTTTGGCTGCTTGTAAATAGGCCAAGTTCTTGTGGTTTGTCCATATCTGTACTGGCTTCTCGGCCCCCTCAAGCCAATGGCGGCGCTCCTCCAGGGCGAGTTTTATGGCTAAGAGCTCTCTGTTGCCCACATCGTAGTTTCGTTCTGCTGGGGAAAGAGGACAGGAGAAGAAAGCGCATGGGTGAAGCTTGTGGTCCTGGTCTGAGTTCTGTGATAAAACTGCTCCAACGCCTGTGTCTGAGGCGTCCATCTGTACTATGAACTGTTTAGAGTGGTCTGGGTGCACAAGAATCGGTGCACTGGGAAACCTGTCCTTAAGGACATTGAAGGCTGCTTCTGCTTCTATGTTCCACCTGAACGGGGTATTAACTGACGTGAGAGCCTGAAGGGGGGCGGCGATCTGACTGTACCCATGGATGAAGCGGTGGTAGAAGTTTGCAAAGAGAATCCGCTGAAGATCTCTACGGTTTTTGGGCACAGGCCACTCCAGGATGGCTTTGATCTTATCAAGGTCAGACCGGACCCAGCCCCCTTCCAGGATGAGACCCAGGAAGGTGACGGATGCCTGGTGAAACTCACACTTTTCTGCCTTAACGAAAAGTCTATTTTCCAGGAGCCGCTGGAGGACTAAGCGGACATGATGCTGGTGCTCGGAGAGGTTGCGTGAGTAAATCAGAATGTCATCCAGGTACACGAGATGAAGATGTTTAGGAAATCACGGAGGACATCAATCACTAGGGACTGGAAAACAGCTGGAGCATTGCTAAGACCAAAAGGCATCACTAAATATTTGAAATGGCCCAGGGGTGTCTTGAACGCTGTTTTCCACTCGTCCCCCCGGCGGATCCGGACCAGTTGTAAGCATTTTAGCAGATCTAACTTAGAAAAGATCGTAGCAGATTGGACCGGTTTCAGAGCGGAGGAAAGGAGTGGAAGGAGGTACTTATTCTTAACTGTTATGGCATTAAGCCTGTGGTAGTCGATACATGGACGAAGGGAGCCATCTTTCTTAGCCACGATAAAGAAACCAGCCCCGAGAGGGAAGGAAGATGGTCTAATCAACCCCGTGGCAAGGGACTCTTTAATATATTTTTCCAGCGCATGTCGTTCCGAAAATATATAAATAATAAACATTAGCTGTTCTCAATTTGTTGTGGATTTTAATTTGGAAAATGAGTGAACGACCGATATAGGGATTCAAAATGCTGCAGGAAACAAAAACATTTCTGGTCTAATCAAATTGCAGCTTATGTTGGATTTTATTTTATGCACTACATAGGCATTCTTGTGTGCTAAAAAAGTCAGCAGTGAGCAAGCTTGGAGGGAACATTGGTGTCAGGGGATTTATGTCCTAAAACAGAAGGAGGAAAAAGAGGTAGATGACGTTCCAGAAGGTGACGTGAAAACTAAGTTGGGTACAGATCTGGAGCAGGCTACCTTTAGCCCAACAGGAAGGACCCCAGCTGGCTGCAGCAGCGACAACCTCACAATGGATTTATCAGTTGTGTCACACACCTGTTGTCCTTTGTCCTCTCTTGTAAGAGATGGTACAAAAAACTAGAGTAAATGAGATCTACTTAAACAAGAGAGGAAGCACTTGAAGGGAGGCGGGTCCTAGAAACCAGCCGTGGTTCTAGACTACATTGCCAGAGGGGCAGTGTGGTTTCATAGTGGCACTGGGGAGCATGTAACAAAAACATACTAATAGTTTATCATTTATATTGAGAAAGCCTTGCAGAACCTGAATGAATTGAAAATTCCACGTTACCTCTTTTATTTAAATTTTATGCTGTTCCACCTGAAAATATATGGGTTATTTTTGGTATGAAAATTAGATCTAATAAAAACGTAAAAAATATATATTTACTTAAAAGTAAAAGCAATGACTTACCATCAAAGAAAGCAACAAAAAAGCCACAAAAAAAAGACTATGAAAATAAAAAAAGCTATTCTTTGGAATATTAGGTCAATTTATATTCATAAGTCAGGGTCATTACCTATTTATATTTTTAATGAAAATAATAATAATAATCATAATACGATTCAGCAGATGAAAAATTTGATCCTATCTCCATAACACTGAAGCTATTACCTTGATTTTCAAATCCTATTAAAACAGACCTGTAAAGAAAAAAAAATAAACGGGTCCAAGGGACCTATCAGTCACTATGACTGTTCCAGCACATATCATCATTAAATCATTTTTTTAAGTATTTCGTCTTCAGTCCAGTGGCCATAACAGCGGCCAGCATCAGTTCTATGGGTCCCCTGGACACTTTACTCTTAAGCCCTGGCGCTACAAAAAATAAACTTTTTTCCAGTGTCAAATCAGTCAACCTTTGTGAGTCTGTCTACATTTAGCTTTCAAACATGTTTTTTTCCACTTAAACGTCCCAATCTAATGCTGCACAGTTAATATTCAGCTAGGCCCAAACAGAAGCTGTTTATTGTGGTGAAAGATTCATAAGGAACCTGATTTGAAGATAGGGTTTGTTGGTTTAATGTTTCACTGTTTATGGTGGGGGTAAAAGAAACCGATTTGTTTTTCTACCACTTCCATTGCTCATATTTTTTCATGTTCATTGTTCTTTGTTTTCCTGCTGTTATTTGATAGTGACCTTCAAAATGTCCTTCTGGATGTTTTCCAACTAGTATAATTCCCACACTGGTATATGTGTGTCAGTGTTTTTTTTTTTTTGTGCATAGTTCCTTCCCATACATAAGCATTCTGTACCTGAAAACATAGCATGTCTTACAGGAATAGCTCATTGTTTTCAAAGATGATGAACATCTCAAGCATTCAAGGAAATGAAGAAATGTGAGGGTGCTGCTGGATCCTGTCCAACCATACACTATGTATTAAATGAAAAATAACTATTCAATTAAAATTAATACTGCTGACACCATGCTTTATATGAAAATATAAACTTTGTTTAAAAGTGGGTAGTCATGAACAGTATTATCTCTTACAGGAGTAGCTCATTGTTTTCAGAGATGATGAACATTCCAAGCCTTTATTATTTCTATGCATCTATAGGTAAATGAGCAGCACTTATATACCACCTTTTCAAGTCAGTTGGCTCCTAAGTTCTCTACACAGCACTGAGTCATCCGTTCACACACATTCACATTCTGATTGAGGAAAAACTACACTTTAGCCAGGGGGCTATAGCAAACCTCAGAGAGAAATGAGAACGCAGAAATAAAAACTGTCCAAAGGCAGAGTATGATTAAAAGGAAAGATAACTATTCAAATAAAACTGATACTGCTGAACCAAGCTAAGAACATTTTAACGTCACTGTCTGTTGTGGCAAATTTAAATTTTTGAAATGATTAACGAACTCCTGAAATACAATTTGATGACATAAAAATGTATGTTATTAGAATCAATCAGTGGATTTAAATGTAATTTGATTCGTTTGTATTAAATAAGGAGAATTTTTAGGGTCAAAGTTAAAAATATCTACATATATTGTAGGAGAAAAAGAAGTGTTGCAGAAAGCAAACTCTCATAACAAAGTTACTCAATAATTTCATATTATACAGTAACTTTTTTAATACAGCGGGTAAAATAATTATTAAACACACCACAATCTCTTCTCTCAGCAAAGATATTTTTAGAGTTGCTACTGACACATTTTAACCAGATATCGGTAACAATACATGCAATCCACACATAAAAAGATCCTTATTTCCCCTGATATATGTGATTAGTTTAACAAACTGTCTTAAAATACAAACCAATTCATAAACAGTAGAGTACAGTATACTAGTTTAGGAGTTGGAATGTTGTAGAGCAGGATGCTCTGTGGGCGTAATAACAAGCTGTATGCAGGCTATTTAAACCTGCACCTTAGAGCTGGAAGAAACTAACAGTGATGGCCTTCAAACATCTGATCTGTGTGGCGGCTGTACTGGCTCTGCTGATGAAAGGTAAGAATACCTGCAGATAAAGAAAAATAAGTGAACCTGTCTTCTGCCTTAGGTGTAGTTCATTCTTATCTGTATTAAACAGAATCAACCAAAGTAGGTGTTTTTTTTTTTTTTTTACTGTGTAGCTGTTTTTTTTCTTTTTTAACAAATAACTACCAACTATGTCAGTTACCATGCTGAAGCTGGGGGTGGGTTATTTCCACTCTTCGTTGGGTCTTCCTTATGACGTGTTGGTCGCTTTGTACCTAAATCTGAAAAAGGAATTTTGATACTAAACTTGCATAAATTTATAGGCGATAATCTACCCACTTTACACATGATCTAAAAAATTATATATTCTGCTCATTCAATCCACCTGCAGGAGACCAAAAATTTATTGAATTAAGGATCATTATCTAATTTCATAGGAGTTCATTTGTCCAAAATGGGATTAGAGCTATTGTTGCACCGATAACAATACCAGTATTGGGCGGGGCCCTGATACAGTATTAAAATGATGGTATTGGTATCGGCTAGTACCAACAAATAGGGCACCGTTTTGTGAGCCAAAAGTTTATTCAACAATTGTTGCCCGCAGGTAGGCAATAAAAAGTTCTACTGGATCCACTTTGTATTAGTGTTTTTCCTGCTTCACAAAGGTAGGCAGCAGCTTGACAAAGCCATGATGGCAATTATTTTACATCCAAGTAGTTTGCAGTTCTTCATATATACACACACACATCAATTTCAAACAGATGATATTGGTATGGTATCGGCCAGTGCTGCACAGCCAGGTATTGGGTATCGGTATCAAGGCCAAAAAATGGCATCGGCACAACACTAATTAGAACCTTAATCATTAGAAAGCAGGAATGAAAGTACAGTTAAATTCTTACCAGTATTCTATAGAAAATGTTTATTGGCCTCTCTCTCTCATTTACATCGTATTTGAATAGAAAGAAGCAGGAACTATAGGAGAGACATAGTCAAAGAACATCTATGTGTCTTTTCATCGGGGGCTTTATCAAAAAATTGTAATGACTAACCAACAAAATATTTACTCTGGTTATATGGTAGAAATAAACGAAGGTATTGCATCACATCTTGTGATCTGGAAGTAATAAAATTTCCAGGGCTAAAAAAAAAAAAACCTTTTTTGCTCTAAGCAGATGGTGTTTATCAACTAAATATAGTTTATTAAGTAGTGAGAACAGAGTCGGCCGTGCAATTAGCTGCTGAGCGGATCAGGGTGGGGCTCGGGTGCAGATAAGGGTCTGCTTCCGTCTCCTTGAACCCCAGTCGGCCTCGGCAGATGGCTGCTCACACTGAGCCTGGTTCTGCTGGAGGTTTCTTCCTGTTGAAAGGGAGTTTTTCCTCTCCACTGTCGCTACAAGCATGCTTAGTGTGAGGGATTTTAAGAAAGAATAATTTTTTTATATTTTACATTTATGATTTAAATAAACCCTAGTTGTACCTTACCTACCACAAATCTCCTCATCATGAGCTTCTACTCAATTGTAAGAACCAATCATGTCCTTATAACAGATGTTGTTTCTAGGTATATTTTTGCAACAAAAAATAAATAAATAATTAAAAATAGGTTTGGCTCAATTTCCTTCTATAAGCTTTTCTTTAAAACAGCTGCAGGTCTTTTTTGTTCCCTTTAGGTACCAGTGTTTCTGTAGAAATGAACCGGTATAGCAGGAAGCTTTTCTTTGTTTATGGGAAACGCTTTAGATTGCTTGACAAGTAAGAAAGCCAGTTTAACAAGGCCAATTAAAACTGACAGAGAAATGAAAATAATTTTAAATGACAGTAGAATTGCTAATATTACTATTTGAAGAGCTCTCCATCCATCCATCCATCCATCCATCCATCCATCCATCCATCCACCACTACATCCATCCATCCATCCATCCCTACATCCAACCATCCATCCATCCACCCCTACATCCATCCATCCCTACATCCAACCATCCATCCACCCCTACATCCATCCATCCCTACATCCAACCATCCATCCATCCACCCCTACATCCATCCATCAATCCATCCATCATCCATCCACCCATCCATCCATCATCCATCCACCCAACCATCCATCCCTACATCCAACCATCCATCCATCCACCCCTACATCCAACCATACATCCATCCATCCATCCACCCATACATCCATCCCTACATCCAACAATCCATCCATCCAACCATACATCCATCCAACCATACATCCATCCAACCATCAACCATCATCATCCATTCCCAAACCTTATCCCACATCCATCCATCCACCATCCATCCACCTTATCCATCCATCCACCCTCTACCATCCAACTCCACCATCCATCCATCCACCCTACATCTTCCTTCCACCCATCCATCCACCCCTACCCTCCATCATCCATCCATCCATCCCTCCATCAATACCATACCATCCATCCAACCACCTACCCTCCAAACACCTCCATCCATCACCTACATCCAACACCATCCATCCACCATCCATCCATCCATCCCCCTACTCCATCCATTTCCATCCATCCCTACATCCTACCATCCATCCACCCTTACATCAAACCATCCATCCATCCATCCACACATCCCCTCCAATCCACCCATCCTTCATCCAATCCTCCACCCACATCCATCATCCATTCCATCCATCCCATCCCTCCATCCAACCACCTCATCCATCCTTACATCCACCATTCCCCTCCCCATCCATCCATCCATCCATCCATCCATCCTTTCCCCAATCCTTCATCCATCCATCCACCCCTACATCCAATCACCCATCCATCCATCCACCCTTACATCAAACCATCCATCCATCCATCCATCCATCCATCCATCCATCCATCCATCCATTTCCCATCCCATTTCCCTCCACCCTACATCCAAACCCCTCCATCCATCCACCCTACATCAACCTCCATCCATCCATCCAAACCTCCATCCATCCATCCATCCATCCATCCATCCATCCATCCCTACATCCATACATCCATCCATCCCCTACATCCTCCATCCCTCCATCCATCCATCACCCTATCATCAATCATCCATCCAACATCCTTCCCATCTTCATCCATCATCCACCTTCAATCACCCATACCATACCATTCCATCCATCCATCCATCCATCCATCCATCCACACACCCCTACATCAAACCATCCACCCCTACATCCAACCACCCACCCATCCATCCATCCATCCACCCCTACATCCATCCAACCATCCTTTCCCCAATCCTTCATCCATCCATCCATCCATCCATCCACATCTACATCCATCCATTTATCCATCCATCCATCCCTACATCCAACCATCCATCCATCCAACCCTGCATCCCTCCATCCATCCATCCATCCATCCATCCATCCAACCATCCCCCATCCCTTCATCCATCCATCCACCCCTACATCCAACCATCCATCCATCCATCCATCCATCCATACCATCCTCCATCCATCCATCCATCCTAATCCATCATCAACCCATCCAACCCATAGTTTTTTAAATCCTGTTGCACAAGGAAATAAGTTAATTATTTAATTTTATTTTTCAGAACTCCAGCTCTCATAAGTCAAACCTGTGTTACTTTAACTATGGCTTATAGAGCAGTCAGCATCATTGAGGAATGCCTATTTTTTTTAATGTTAAACCATCACTAACACCAAGGACTAGTTTGAGGACGGCAGTCCTCCGCACCCATAGTCCACACACCCCACTTCATTGAGGATCTCATCCACCCATTGCACCCACCTCCATTCGTCCAGGTAGCCACTAGGTATGCACAGTCCTCACTTCCCAGCTAATCATTTGATGAACATTGCCTTCCTCAAATCAAATCTCTTTATCATTTTATTGCAAAAACCACACCAAAAAAAAATTAACCCACTGGTACCATTTGGTCATCTCGCTCAATACTATGGACAAGCATTTTTTAATCAAGCCATATAAGATATTAAGCAAAGAGGTCATAATGAGCGCATGGAAAATGTTGTAATATTTTATCCAGTTCAAATTAAAAATACTTTTTAATCCAACAATGTATTATCATAAATCATAAACTACTTAATCATAATGACTGCATATTTTCACTAATACAATCCATTTCTACACAAAATCCATCAATAACCAACATCCCACCCACATCCAAAATTTCAACAATCCATTCCACCCCTACATCCCTACTATCCACCTCCATCCCACCCCCCTTTTCCACCATCCATCCCCCACCAAACCCCCATCCATCCCCCCACCCTTCAACCACCCCACCAAACCACACCACCCCAAAAAAAACCACCCCAATCCATCCAAACCACCACCCTTCCCCCCAACCCCATCCAACAACCCCCCACCCCCTACCCCCAACCCCCCCAACCCCCCACCTTACCCACCATCCACCCCCCCCCAAACCCCCCAACCCCCCCCCCCCCCCCCCACACCACACCCCCCCCCCATCCCCCCCACCACCCCCAACCACCACCACCCCCCCCCACCCCACCAAACCAACCCCCACCACCCCACCCCCCACCACCACCCCACCACCCCCCCCCCAACCTTTCCCACCACCACCCCACATCCAACCCCCCCCCAACCCCACCTCCACCAACACCCACCCCCCCAACCCACCCCCCCCACCCCCCCCCCCCCCCCCCCCCCCCCCCCCCCCCCCCCCCCCCCCCCCCCCCCCCCCCCCCCCCCCCCCCCCCCCCCCCCCCCCCCCCCCCCCACCCCCCACCACCCCCCCCCCAACCCAACCCCCAACCACCCCCCCCCACCAAATAACCCCCACCACCCACCCCCCCCACCCAAAACCCCCCTCAACCACATTTAACCCCCCAACCCCCACCCATCCCCCCTTCCATCCACCACCATCCCCACCCCCACCTTTCCCTCCAAACCATCCACCCCATTCCCAAACAACCATCCACCCCAACCAACCCCCACCCCATCCTCCTCCCCTCCTCCCTCCCCCATCCATCCAACCCCCCCTCCTTTCCCAATCCCAAAACCATCCACCCCTACATCCAACCACCCACCCATCCACCCTACTAAAAAACCCCCATCCATCCACCTAATTCCTCCCACCCCACCTCATCCCCACCCTCCCCCCCCATCCTCCCTCCATCCCAAAACCACCATCCATCCACCACCCCTACTTCCACCCCTCCCCAACCCAATCCTACCCAACCCCAAAACCCCCATTTAAAAAAACCACCACCCACCACCAAACCTACCCCCCCCAACCACCATCCAAACCCCCCCCCACATCCAACCAACCCCTCCACCACCCCCCTCATCCACCCCCCCTACACCATCCAACCTCCTCCCCCCCCCCCCCCCATCCACCCCAAAATCCACCCCATCCAAAAACCCCCCATCCTCCAAACCAAACCCCCCCCCATCCACCCAAACCCACTCCAAACCCCCCCCCACACCAATCCACCCACCAAACCCCCCCTCCCCCAACCTCCCCCCATCCACCATCCTCCATCCCCCCCCAACCCCCCCCCACCCCCCACCATATTCCCCCCCCTCACCACCACCAAAACATCCCCAACCATCCAAACCCCCCATCCCCCCCAAAACCCCCAAAACCCCTCCATCCCCTCCACCACCCCCATCCATCCCAAACCCCCCTTTCCCCAAACCTTTTATCCATCCATCCACCCCCTTCCAATCCCCCCATTCCAACCCCCCCACCATACCCCAACCCTCCCCCATCCATTTCCCCCCCCTCCCCTTCCCCCCATCCACCACCCACCCTAACATCAAACCCCAACCCCCCCCCCCCCCTTTCCCCCTCCTTCATCCATCCATCCTCCCCATCCATCCACCCCACATCAACCATTTATCCATCCATCCCCCCCTCTCACCAACCCCCCCCCCAACCACCCATCCACCAACCATCCATCCATCCACCCCCCCCAATCCCAACCATCCCCCCACCCCACATCCAATCAACCTCCATCCATCCCCCCCCAACCCTCAAACCCTCCACCATCCATCCCCCCAATCAACCACCATCCCTCCAACCCTCCCTCCCCCCACCCCCTTTTTCCCCCCAACCCCCCCCCTAAACCACCACCACCATAACATCCATCCCCCCCACATCAAAAAAACCCCTCCTCCCCAACCTCATCCACCCAAACCCATCCATCCCAACCCTCCCCTCCCCCCAAAAAATTTCCCTCCACCACCCCTCACCAACCCCATCCTCCCCCATCTTTCCATTCCCATCCATCCACCACCCCTAAAATCCATAAACCATCCATCCCACATCCCAACACCATCCCTCCAAACCCCACATCCCATCCATCCACCACCTACCATCCACCACCACCACCATCCAACCTCCCCCAAATAACCATCCACCCTCCCTCCCCCATTCCATCCATCCACCATCATCCAACCCCCCTCCCTCCCAAACCCCTCCCCCCCCCCACTCCAACACCCCTCCATTCCACCCCTTAAAAAATCCAAATCCATCCCCCAAAAAATCCTCCCCCAAAATACTCAAAATCCCCCTAAATCCAACCCCCCACCCCCAAACCATCCATACCCCACATCCATAAAAACTTTTCCCCAAAATTCATCCATATCCCCATCCAATCCACATTTCATCCATCCCCTTTTTAAAACCTTCCACATAAACCCCTTCCCAATAATAAAAAACCCCCTTTTCCCCCAAACCCTTTTCCATCCTCCCCCCTAATCCAATCCCCCCAAACCCAAACCTCCCATCCATCCTACCCTCATCCCATCCTTTCCCCAATCCTTCATCCATCCATCCATCCATCCATCCATCCACATCTACATCCATCCATTTATCCATCCATCCATCCCTACATCCAACCATCCATCCATCCAACCCTGCATCCCTCCATCCATCCATCCATCCATCCATCCATCCAACCATCCTTTCCCCAATCCTTCATCCATCCATCCATCCATCCATCCATCCATCCATCCATCCATCCATCCATCCATCCATCCATCCATCCATCCATCCATCCATCCATTCATCAACCCATACCCAACCCATAGTTTTTTAAATGCCTGTAGCACAAGGAAAATAATGTTAATTTATTTATTTTTTATTTTTCAGAGAGTGACTCACAGCTCTCAGGTAAGTCAAACCTGTTGTTACTGTTGTAACTAGTGGCTTATAGAGCAGTCAGATAATTGGAGGAATGGTCTATTTTTTTTAGTATGTGGTAAACCATCACTTAACACCAGGATAGTTGGAGGAGAGGCAGCTCCTCCAGGCAGCTGGCCCTGGCAGGTCAGTCTGCACACATCTACTCACTTCTGTGGAGGATCTCTGATCAACGACCAGTGGGTGCTGACTGCTGCTCATTGCGTCTCAGGGTAAGCCACTAGGGTATGCACAGTTCCTCACTTCCCAGCTAGATCAATTGTTTGATGAACATTTGCCTTCCTCTAAAACTACTAAGATTCTTTTTTATGTCAGTTTTATTGCAAAAACCAAGAAAAAAAAATTAACTAACCTGGTAGAGCATTTGGTCATTCTACGCTAAGTGACTAATGGACAAGCATTTTTTAATCAAGCCATAGCTGAAGATATTTGAAGCAAAGAGTGGTCATAATGAGCTGCATGGAAACTGTGTGATATATTTTATTCAGTTCAATTAAAAAATACTTTATTAATCCCAAAGGACAATAATTGTATGTATGCAATAAAGAATTCATTAAAAACTAAACTTAACATAAAGACGTGCACTATTTGTCACTAGAGTTGCTCCATTTCAGCAACAATCCAAATTAACCAAGATACCAGCCAAACTACATAAGAGCATAGTTCAGAAATCTCTTGTTTATTATAAATTTAGCCCATAGCAGATATATCTGCAATAACATCAATTTTATGTTATTTTCAACATAAAATGTTTTTTTTTACTGACTCTCTTCTCAGGTCACCAACTGGTATAACAGCATATCTGGGTCGGCAGAGTCAGGAGGGATCCAACCCACATGAAGTCAGCCGAACAGTGTCACAGATCACTATTCACCCTGAGTACAATTATGGAACTTCATGGAACAATGACATTGCACTACTAAGACTCTCTGAACCAGTAATTTTCACCAGTTACATCTCACCAGTCTGCCTAGCTGCCCTGAACAGCACCTTCTACAGCAGGGTTGAATCCTGGATCACAGGCTGGGGAAGAATCGGAAGTGGAGGTGGGTAGAAAACCAACAATATAAAGCAAACTGAAGAAAGAACCTGCCAAGGTTTAACTCTAACAGTTGAATAAATCTTTGTATTATCAAATCTGTATTTTTCTCTACAGTTCCTCTACCATCTCCTAAAAACCTGATGGAGGTGACGGTGCCGGTTGTTGGGAACAGACAGTGCAAGTGTAACTATGGGGAGAGGATGATCACTGAAAACATGATATGTGCTGGGTTACAAGAGGGAGGCAAGGATTCCTGTCAGGTTATCTTCTAATTACATCACTTTATCATTGTCTGCAGACAGTAATTTTCCTTTTGACTAATAGAACATTTTCAAACTTTAAGGGGGATTCAGGAGGTCCGATGGTGAGCAAACAGGGTGACCGCTGGATTCAAGCAGGAATTGTAAGTTTTGGAGAAGGATGCGCTAAGCCAGATTTCCCAGGAGTCTACACCAGAGTATCCCAGTATGAGAGCTGGATCAACAGTATCATATTCACCAATCAGCCAGGGTTCCTTACCTTTATATCTGAAGGGACTGACAGTGACCTAAGTGTTTCCTGTACAACACCTGAACCTAATGGTGAGTACCTGTTCTAATGTAAAAAAGCAAAATTAACAAAAAACACAAATAAAAAAACAAAGGATACATGTTTAATCCAATTCCAGAACAGTACAAACAAACTAAATTGTACCACTTCCCCATATATTTATGACCAAAACAAAAAAGACATACAGCCTATGTCTTCTGTCTGCAACTAATACTGTAAATCACAACTAAATCTCTGTGATACTGTTTGGATCTATTCCAGTTAAGCAAAGGTTCCAGGTGGGTTAATTGTTTTGTTTCACGGACTCTCTGGACTTAGTTCTCGTCCTGTCATTAGATGCTTCTAGAGGAGGAGTTGATAGGAGGCATGATTTACGAATCATCAAAGGACTTGAGGTCACACTGCATTAAAACACTTTGCAAAACTATGTGGATATATCTTTAAACAAGGCAGTAAAGGCCGAGATTTACTTGCACGTCGGGTCGCCACGCCAAACTGTGTGTGCCGTAGGCGAGCCACTGCAAGTAATGTCCTGGTAGATGTAAGATAAATGATTTAAGAATGCTGGAGATTTGTTGCATTGTTGTAGATTAATGTTAATCAATTTCTGACCACATTATTTCCCATTTCAAATAGCTGCAAATCAAACTCTTTTTCTGACAGTATATCCTGTCAAGTTCTGGTCACAGTAAAGGCTATGGAACAACAAAATGATGTATCCCATTATGCTAATTACTGACACGCTTTAAAGATGCAGCCCAAATAGTAAGTTTATTTATCATTGATAGTGTATAATCAGACTATGATACCAAAGTCTTTCAGTTTAGAAATGGATTGTGTTTGCCTTCTTTCATTTCAGACCTTTGATGTTTGACACAGCTTACTACTTTGAGCTTACTGAGTTTTATGTTATCTTAATGCATACTAAGTCGACTGTCTTAACACTGTCTAAACACAAACTGTCTAAAAACTAATATTGTGAATATTACTAAATTTACACTTCTTAACATTTTTCTTCGTAATTCATTTTTCAGAAAATGTGACATACCTGTCTGGTAAGTTAAAGCATATCTGCCTTTTCTTAAATACCAGTATCATATTTTTAAAATCAGGACATTTTAAATAATTCAGATGTTTGTTGTTCTGGCAGCACAAAAAGCATGCATATTATATATTACGGGGTATTATTTTCATTTTTAGTTTAATGATTTATTTTTGATGGTCAAAGGTGGATTTAGGAAATTTGGGTTCCTAGGCAAAAACAGGCAAAAACAGGTTGTCTTCTCTGAAATGAGAACACATAAAACAGACCCGTTATACAGCTACAGAAATTTTAATAGAATAGACATACATGATTTGTTCTATTTTTTCTCTCTCTCTTCTTGTCCCTTTTCTTCTTGTTTTCCTCTCTATGTTTTGTACTCAGCTGACTTTTCATGCTGTCTCAAAAGAAATGAAAGATTTTTTCCATGCACTAAGCTCACTTAGCTGATTGCTCCTTCCTGTGTTTCCAAAAAGGCGACGGCAAACGTAAATAACAGTCTTTCTTTTCACTGTAGACAAGCCATGATCTGCTTATCTGTTCTCCATTTCTTATTTCTATATAATACTAGCTGCATGAATCATGACAGCATTTAAGATAGGGGAGAGCAGGAGGCGGGGTTACCAATCTACTTGCTCTGGAGAGCAGAGTTCGCTGCTTTTATATGTTGTCGCCAAAGTCTCCAGTAGCAGGAAAAAGTTACTAGATTTGGTGCTAGGCACATTTTTTTTTAAATAAAAGCACTAGAGGGGCCTGGAAAAGCATTAAGTTGGCAACACTGCTCTTGGCACCGTTTTCAAATGGTTGGCTGCTGTTTGTTTGGACCTTTCATCCAAAGGTGGTGGGGGGTGGCTGAAACACACATAATACTATAAGCGTTCTAATGACATTTTAGCAAAAGGATTTTTATCAAAAACATAATTATTGTGCACAAATAAGGAATAGTTGTATTAACTACAAATAAACAAAGTTTTATGGGGCCCCCGGGATCTTGGGGCCCTAGGCAATTGCCCAGTATTGCCTAATGGCAAATCTCCCCCTGGTAATTGTAAAGGACATTTAACATTGCTGATCAATTGTTTATACACCTGTTATTAAATGTTTCCACATTTATTTTATCAAAGAATATCACTCTGTCATGATGGGTTTGGTTCCTAGCCCATATGCAGAAACACTCGGAAACAGGACAAAAAGTTCAAAGGTTTATTGAATAAACAGGTCAGGGGGTTATCAGATTCAGGACTGGTCACGACTGGTTTCTCTGTTCAGAGATTCAGGCTGAGCGGCGGAGGAGGGGAACCAGGAGGGTCCAGAGGCTGAAGGCAGGCAGAGGCAGGGCAGAGCAGTTACTCTTACTGAGCAGGTTCAGAGCTTCTCTCTCAGCTCTTACTGAGAGCAGGCAGGCAGGTTTCAGACTGAGTTGGATTTCCAGGGTTCTCCTGAGAACAGACTGCTTGGTTTCTCGCTTGAGAAACTCTTCCAGGTTTCAGGTTTCCAGGCAGGTTCTTCCTGAGAAGCAGAGAGGACAAAAACTGATTAGGTTCAGGTTCAGGCTTCAGGGAAGTCAGAGATTCAGACAGGCTGGTCGGCTAAGATTTGCTAACCATAACTGGCTTAACACTCTGGCGTCAGAGTGTTGCTCTGCCCCTCCTTAAATGCCGGTCTCCTGATGAACTCACGCGCCGCAGGTGTGGTAGTCAGCTCCAGCTCCAGGAGACCTAGAACGCCCTCTGTTGGAGAAAGGTGGACAGACCACCAGATCCCAACACACACACACACCTCCACTTTTTTCAATTTGTGTGCTATTCCATTGATAATTTCATAAATTCATTGTATGAATGGGGAACAAAACTGTTCTTTCTACAAATAAATTGGGAAATCAAATAATTGTACTGCTGTTATTCCTATCAAGGTTTGTTTTCCTGAGAGCACCTGGAATCGACATATAACTCAGGGTTTTATTTGCATCTTTTGTCAGAGTGCGGTCTGGCTCCACTCAACAACAGGATAGTTGGAGGAGAAGCAGCTCCTCCAGGCAGCTGGCCCTGGCAGGTCAGTCTGCACACATTCACACACATCTGTGGAGGATCTCTGATCAACGACCAGTGGGTGCTGACTGCTGCTCATTGCGTCTCATGGTAAGACTCAAGGACATATTGAGCTCTTCACATTTGAAAAATGACTTTTTCTTCTATGGAAATATGATAAAATGCAAGTAGAAAAGCATATGCTGTAATTTAATAACAGGATGAAATAAATATCATCAAAATTTCTCCCCAGAAATGACATAAAATAAACTGAAATGTGTTCAGATCTCAATAACAACTGAATCAAAGTGCACTAGAAGTAATGTGTTACCTTCAGTTAAGAAGCAAGTAATTTAGTGATCTCTTTTCTGCCCTACAATAAAGGTTTAGCAGCACTGCTGGTCTAACAGTGTATCTGGGTCGTCAGAATCAGAGTGAATCTAACCCAAATGAAGTCTCTCGGACAGTAACAAGGATCATTATTCATCCTGGATACAACATACCACATTTTAACAATGACATTGCGCTTCTGAAGATGTCTGAACCAGTGGTTTTCAGCAATTACATCTCACCCGTCTGCCTGGCAGCCTTCAACAGCACCTTTAACATTGGGGAAGACACCTGGGTTACTGGCTGGGGCAACATTGGATATAATGGTGAGTTTTAAAACCATTTATATGCAAAGAAAGCATTAATTTATACAATACCAACATTTTTATTTTAGATGGGAAAGGGCAGAAGTCTTTCTGTCTTTTTTTCAGACTATGAAAAAAGATCTACAATAAAACCTTAACATTAAATAAATACTTTTTTCTCTAATGTTGCAGTGGTTTGTCTGGGTTTGCAGTTGGTCGTAAACAGACCTGCTGTTTATAGGGCATGAATCACATAGTTATTGCACAGCCAGGGGTGGACTGGGACAAAAAATTGGCCCTGGCATTTTGGCTAGACTGGCCCACCACATTTTTTTTTTTTTTTTTTGGTGTACTGAATGTGTATACCAACTGTGCAACACCTTGAGGCCAGTTAATGGAAATTAGTGAGAGTGGACACTTAAAATACTTCCAAAATCTTAATTTATTAACACTGTAAAATGTAAACTCCACCACAGCAACAATTCTTAGACGAGAGAGAGAGAGAGAGGTCACAGTCAATCACACATATTATTTGCACATGATGCATTAATTATTGTATTGCCTGCTCGCTCTCACTGGCATTAAAAAACTCCACCTCCCATAGTCTAAAATCCGGGATAATTTATCTGACTCGCGGGCATCCTTGAACAACTATCGATATCAGGGAGACTCCCGGGAACTTCCGGGAGACTTGGGATGTCTGCATTACATAGTTTGGGCCTTTAAAAACTGTCCAGCTTACCGCAGGTTCTACTACTGCAGCAGCCGCACTGACATGTTCACTGCTCGGTTCGCCGTCGCCTCCACTACAACCACCACCACCATCATATTATACATAAGACACCGAAACAGATGACGGGCCTGCTGTTGGAAACATGTCAGTCTGTTTGACACATTTCGCAGCGTCCGTTTTAAGAACTCGTTTCTTTTTTCGCGCAGTTTCTCTGCGCCTCCCTTGCGTTTCTTATCCATTACTACTGTGACACCGCTGCACAAAGTTCCAATGGAGAGTGAAGGTGTTTTTCTACTTTCTGATTGGGCTAGCCCTTTAGACTGTCAGGGATGATAACCAATGGGCTGCAGTAGCCTGTGGCAAGGGCCGGATGATCGGAACAGACTCTTGCGCTGCTGATTTTATTTTTCTTCATGCATTATGCAAATATAACGAGGCCGATATAATAATAATAATAATAATAATAATAATAATATTATAATAATACATTTTATTAATATACATGTCGGGTCTGCCGCCTCAAACAACACGTCGGCCCACCAGGCAAATGCCCGGTACGCCCGATTACCAGTCCATGCCTGTGCACAGTAGATTATGAAAAGTCAAAGATATAGAACCATTCAACATATTCTCATTATGAGTTCGTATGAAATCGTACGAAAAGTTATGCACACTATTTTGTACGTTTTGGACGTTTTTCCTAAAAAAACTACATCAGTGCGCATGCGCTGGCAGACAGAAAAAAAAAAGCAGATCCGCGGACGGACGTAAAACAGGGAAAAACAGTGCAATAATCACTTATTCATGTCTCTAACTACGTTGCTTGCTGTTTTATATCTTAGGGTTAGGGTTAGGGTCAGGGCTAATTGTAATTTATATTCTATATTCGTGAATGGTGCGTCAGATGCGCATACGACGAAAGAAACATCCAAAACGTACGAAATTATGGTGCATAACTTTTTGTACGATTACATGCAAACTCATAATGAGAATACACTGAACCAATGTACAGAAACTCATACTCCACCGCATACTTCATCCAAATATCTTTAGCAATGTGGCAAACTAAAGCAATATAGGCAGCACCTCTTCCCTATGAGTGATTTAGAAATAGACCAAACAGGTATGTTTCTGGGGCTGATGGAGGAAGCAGAGTATGTGAAGTAAAAATAATGCCCAGACCATAAAACATCACACAGAGAGATCTCAGGCAAGGATTCAAACCCAGAACCTTTTTCCTGCAAAGCAATGATGCAACTAACTGCTCTTCTCTGCAGCTAAAACTGAGTTGAGTTGTTGTTAATCTGTATCAACTGCAAAAACCTAGGTATAGCACTATATCATATATACAGCAAAGTTGTCTTTTAGCCTATGTAGCATCTAGCAAGTCTGTTTGTTTGTTTGTTTACACACTTAAAGACTTCATCATAGTGCTAATACTAACCTACCAATGAAAAACTGTCAAAATCAGAATTTGAAAGTCAAATCTTTGAGGACCGATGTCCAACACAGTGTTGTATAAAGTACTGAAATCTCTGAGTCAAGTAAAAGTATAAGTACCTGTCCAAAATATGACTTTGGTAAAAGTCCAAGTCACTGACTGAAATGTTATTTGAGTAAAAGCCTTAAAGTATCAGAAATGACTTGTACTTAAGTATAAGAATTATTGTAAAAATAGATGTACTCAAGTAATGTAGTGAAAAGTATAAGTAAAAAGTAGTGCAGTTTGAATGACATTTTGTTACATTTTGGTAAACTTTGAAGGTTAAATTCACTTAAAATAATATAAACCAAGTGTAGGATAAATTTAGACCGGCTTTGCGAAACAGGCGTATCCTATTGGTGTTGATGAACAAGCCCAGGCAAGACCCGACTTTGTAGTCAGTAGGTGGGGTCAAAACACTTGCATTTCTCTCGCTCTCGCTGTTTTTTTTTTTTTTTTACTTAGTAACTAAACCATACTTTTACGGAGTAAAAGTATGCAATTAAGTTCGTAAATGTAGTGAAGTAAAAGTGAAATTTCTCAAAAAAATGTATACTCTTGGAAAGTATGAAGTACTCCAAAATATACTTAAGTACAGTAGTGAAGTATTTTTACTTCGTTACTATACAACACTGGTCCTACAGCACAGCTTTTAGATGTGTCTCTGCTTCGACCCAGCTGACTTCAATGTAAGCTCATTAACAGAGATGGACTGGTCTTAGTAAGGTAGTAAAAGCCGTAGGGAAGCGGCTGTTCCAACGGTTGCATTTCTGAGTTATCCTGAGTGGTGCCCGACTTTACACGGGTAAATAAAGTGATTGTGATGGGTCGTTTATCAATCACATTCATGTTGCGGCGGAAGGTTAGCAAGCTTTTTGGTTGTGGCTGGTTTGTACGAAGCATCTTGCTAACCAGTTAGCAACATAGTGCTAGTAGGTTCCCAATTGGAAATTCCATTGGGACCAAGTAGCACTAAATTGGTGACTTAGAAACGACACTGTCAAGGAACGCTATGGACAGTGGAAACATGCAAGAGGAGGAGAGTTTAGTGTCGGAGGTCGTGGATGAGTCTCCTCCATGATATATCTTTTATTTAGAGGACGGAAGCAGGGATGAAGATGTTGTGGAAGAGGACACCAGGACGGCAGAAGCTTGGTTTGTTGTAGAAGGCTTACAGCCGTACATGTTTAAGCCCTTGCCTCGTAACGCTGCCAGTTCTGTTAGCTCTACGCCTACTGAAGACACAGACGTCCATCCCCGTGAACACTGGGACGGAACTCAATGGGAAAGGAAATGATTCGGATTTCTTATTTCAACCGTTGTATATTAGCTGCGACATATGAATCAAGATGCTATGACCGAAAAAATTAGATTGACAGATGACCGTTGATATATGATTGGCTGAATTTAGGTGTACAAGCTGATGATAACAGAAAATACCAGATTTTAAGACAGGATTTTTTTAAATTGAAATTTTCTAACTTTTGGGACAATATGGTCTGATAAAGAGTCCATTTATATACATCTTTAACCCAGAATGATTTTAAATTAAAGTTAGTTTCATTTAAGTTTCATTTTAATACATTATTCCTGCTTGGAGCATAAAACATAGAGTTACAGTATATTCAGCATTAACTTACAATTAATGGCCATTATGCAATGAAAATATGTTGCAACTTATTTTATTTAATCAAGTGATTTTCTGACTGTCATATGTTGTCTGCGAACACAGACCATGTCTGTGTATTATGACAACAAACAACAAATATCGATTCAAGCTCAAATCAAAGTCAAATTGTTAACTATACACACATATGGAATAAATTTACATTCAAAATATAGGAGTTCATTAGCAGAAATCATTCAACTTGAGTCAAATGTATGTCATTTAAAAAATATTGACTACACTATGTGACTATTTACACATAGCAAAGTAAAGAAAATGGTTAAATTCAATTCAATTCAATTCAGTTTATTTATATAGCGCCAATTCAAAACACATGTCATCTCAAGGCACTTTACAGTTCAACCAGATTATACAGTCAAATTGATCCAAAGTTTTCTTTCTAAGGAAAACTAGTTGATTGCATTGACTCATTGACTCGAATGCAATCCCTCACACTAAGTATGCTTGTAGCAACAGTGGAGAGGAAAAACTCCCCTTTAACAGGAACTAAACTGCAGCAGAACCAGGCTCTGTGTGAGCGGCCATCTGCCGAGGCCGACTGGGGTTCAAGGAGACAGAAGCAGAGATACAAAAAGCAGCTGTAAAAGGCGGCCCCGTCCAGGAAACACACAGCCAGGCAGACAAGCTCCAAGAAAGCTCCCATGTTTAAAATCCTCCTTCTCGCATATAAAGCCTTAAATGGCCAAGCTCCATCTTATATCAGAGATCTGATTGTTCCTTATGTTCCTAACAGAGCACTTCGCTCTCAATCTGCAGGTTTACTAGTGGTTCCTAGAATTTCTAAAATTTTTAAATCCATATTCAATGAAATAATGTAACTTTATCAGAAGGATTTTTATGTTTGAGAACCATAGTTTACATAGAAGAGTTTGGATATTAGGTCTTTTCTAATTTAATGCAATTAAAAAACCAATTCACAATATCCAGCAGTTGATAAGAAATCATTTTGTGAAGTAATGTTTTTAAAATTATTTGATACTTAACCATCTGTAATTTTTCAATTCAATGCAATTCAGTTTATTTATATAACGAAAATGCACAACACGTCATCTCAAGGAACTTTACAATTCAACCGGATTGTACACTCAAATTGCTTCAAAGTTTTCTATCTAAGGAAA